CACCGCAACACAATAACGGATGCTGGGATTTATCTTGGAGCTCTTTTCTTCGCTGTCATTGTCATCATGTTCAATGGCTTCTCAGAGCTTGCCATGACTATCATGAAGCTTCCTGTCTTTTACAAGCAAAGAGACCTTCTTTTTTATCCTCCCTGGGCATATGCCATACCTGCATGGATTCTCAAGATCCCAATCGCCTTTGTAGAAGTTGCCATATGGACTATCATGACATATTATGTTATAGGCTTTGATCCAAACATCGGAAGGTGGGGAAATGGAACTTGTCGATGAATTTGTTTTCTGATCCTTTGAACCTCAGATTCCATACTTTTGCTGAAAGCTCTTCATGGCAGGTTTTTCAAGCAGTACTTGATATTCGTATTAGCTAACCAGATGTCATCTGCGCTCTTCCGAATGATGGGAGCATTAGGAAGGAACATAATTGTGGCCAACACATTTGGTTCATTTGCATTGCTTGCAGTACTAGTTATGGGAGGATTCATCTTATCAAGAGGTGATTTGGATGCTCTTATTTATTTTTGTTAAGTGTGATAAGAGTAAATGCTGATGGTGAACCCTATATTCTTTTATATTAGATAATGTGAAGCCATGGTGGGTATGGGGCTACTGGGTCTCGCCAATGATGTATGTGCAGAATGCCGTGTCTGTCAATGAATTTCTTGGGAATAGTTGGAGACATGTAAGCTTCTTGTTCTTAAATTCCGACAAGAGAATATATTGAAGACTAAAAGAAAATGCTTCAGCTAACGCTAATAACATGGAAATATCTTAATCTGTGCCCCAGATTCCTCCTAATTCAACAGAGTCATTAGGAGTTACTTTCTTGAAGTCTCGCGGAATTTTCCTAGAAGCACATTGGTATTGGATTGGAGTAGGAGCTCTGATAGGATTTGCCTTGCTATTCAACTTCCTTTTCACCTTGGCTCTAAAATATCTCAACCGTGAGTATCTGCATTTAAATGTTCAGATTTGAAAGTTGAGTCCACTATTCTGATGATTGAATGATTGCAGCATTTGGGAAGCCTCAGGCATCATTATCAAAAGAGTCCTTGGCTGAAAGAGATGCCAACAGAACTGGAGCATTTATTGAACTATCAACAAGAGGAAAGAGCTCTTCAGGTAAGTCACGAGACTCTACTATATAGATATGTTGCATTTCTGTTTTGTATGATGCAAGCTAAAAAAGTTAAACCTTCGGAAAACATTGCAGAAAGAGGGAATAGCAGCAGAATAAGTTCCTCAGCTAGGGTACCATCTTTAAGAATTCCTAGCTTTGGTGATGCCAGTCAAAATAAGCGAGGAATGGTTCTCCCTTTTCAACCCCTCTCTATCACTTTTGATGAAATCAGATATTCCGTAGACATGCCACAGGTACCTTGAGGCTTTAATTAAGAAGCAACAATGTAAATATTAGCAACCTTTAAAAACAATTGAAATGCTGAACTTTCAAGAGTTACTGACAGCATGGATGAATTCATTCTCTATGTAGTTCTTCCAACGTCATTGCATGAAGAATTTTGTGAATCTGCTGGAAGTCTCTAAATTTCAAAATACTTTTAGCATTCTGATATCTTATTTTCTTTTCACAACCAATTCTATTGAAATGCTGGTGGTCTGCACCCTGAACTTTGCACTGAACAAGCAGGAAATGAAGGCTCAAGGTATTCATGAGGATCGTCTGGAACTTTTGAAGGGTGTCACTGGTGCTTTCAGGCCTGGAGTTCTAACAGCTCTAATGGGTGTTAGTGGCGCTGGCAAGACCACTCTAATGGATGTATTAGCTGGAAGAAAAACTGGTGGTTATATTGACGGAACAATCTCCATATCAGGATACCCAAAGAACCAACAAACATTTGCTCGCATTTCAGGATATTGTGAGCAAACTGACATCCACTCCCCTCATGTTACTGTCTATGAATCCTTGGTTTATTCTGCTTGGCTTCGACTTTCCCCTGATGTTGATTCTCAAACGAGAAAGGTATACTTCATTCTCTTTCTGCTCTTTTTTCCCTCTTCCTTTTATTGAAGAGCAGGGAAGGATGAAAGTAAAAGCATCTAAATTCAAAGAACTATAGAAAGCATAAGACTACGACTTCCGTTTTCTCACCATCAGGTTATTGACAGTAAATTCAATCAATGTGTTGCAGATGTTCATCGAGGAAGTCATGGAGCTTGTGGAGTTGAACCCTATAAGAGAAGCGCTTGTTGGATTGCCAGGTGTGAATGGTCTCTCCACCGAGCAGCGCAAGAGGCTGACAATTGCAGTTGAGCTTGTTGCTAATCCATCCATAATTTTCATGGATGAGCCGACCTCTGGCCTTGATGCCAGGGCAGCAGCCATAGTTATGAGAACAGTGAGGAACACGGTGGATACAGGGAGAACTGTAGTGTGCACAATACACCAGCCAAGCATAGACATATTCGATGCTTTTGATGAGGTAAGACATATTTTTCTCGGCAATGAACTACCAAAGAGTTTCGCTTTCGGTTTCGGTTTCCTTCGTCATTATAGAAGCTCTAATCCGTTATTGTCACATTGCAGCTATTTTTGTTGAAAAGAGGAGGTGAGGAAATTTATGTGGGTCCAGTAGGCCGCCATGCTTGTCATCTAATCAAGTATCTCGAGGTTAGTATAATTTGCTTGATACAGAGACACCGGAATCTTACTTTGCTTGTTGTTAAATTGTTGACATTGAGTACTTGAACTTTATCAAGGAAATTGAGGGAGTTCCAAAGATTAAGGATGGTTACAATCCTGCAACTTGGATGTTGGAGGTTACTTCAGCAGCACAAGAAGCAGTTCTTGGGGTTCACTTCACTGATGTCTACAAGAACTCAGAACTATACAGGTCTGACCACCTCACATTTCCCTTTTCTTTTTCTTTTTTTATAAAAAATAAAGGGTGAAAAAATAAAAAACTTTTGCAGACTTTGTGGTTAGATTTTGAGTTGAACTGCGATAATTGGAAAATTATTTAAAGAAAAACATGTGAAGCCTCATGAGAAATTACTTCATTTTCTGATGCACACAATGCTACCATGTTACAATGCTATTAACAATTTTCAGTGAATTATTCAGGAGAAACAAAGCCTTGATCAAGGAACTAAGCATTCCACCACCAGGCTCAAAAGATCTATACTTCCGAACTCGATATTCGCAGTCCTTCTTCATTCAGTGTATGGCTTGCCTATGGAAGCAGCACTGGTCATATTGGCGAAACCCGCCATACAATGCAGTGAGACTGTTATTCACAACATTCATAGCTTTAATGTTTGGGACCATATTTTGGGACCTGGGGTCCAAAAGGTACAGAGAAGCGCAGCTTATTCTTTACATAAGCCTTAAATCCCGAACCCTTTCTCTCTTTCTCTCTAACTTAAACGAAATGTTCCTGAATTGCAGAAGGAGCAGACAAGATATCTTTAATTCAATGGGTTCTATGTACGCCGCTGTTCTTTTCATAGGGGTACAAAATGCTACATCAGTGCAGCCAGTTGTTGCTATTGAGAGAACAGTGTTTTACAGAGAAAGAGCAGCAGGAATGTATTCTGCATTGCCATATGCTTTTGCACAGGTAAATTGATTTCTTCTGTTTTTGTCGAAAGGAACTGATCAATTCATCAATGCACTATCCATCTGTCAGAATATGAGCTATCAGAATTCTGAACACTAAGTACTTGGATGAGACTTTTACATATGAGACTACCTGCTTCTTTTTGCTTGTTTCGAGATTCCAGGAAATTCAACCGCAAAGGATCCTCGCCTGATCATTTATTTATCTATGCAGGTTATGATTGAAATTCCATACGGTTTGGTCCAGACTCTTATATACGGAGTTATAGTGTACACCATGATCGGTTTCGAAATGACAGCTATCAAGTTCTTTTGGTACATCTTCTTCATGTACTTCACTTTATTATACATGACTTTCTATGGCATGATGACTGTCGCCGTCACGCCAAATCACAACGTTGCTGCTATAGTTTCATCTGCATTCTACTCAATATGGAACCTTTTCTCAGGATTCATTGTTCCTCGGACGGTAACTTCTTCGTTATCCTATGTGTTTTTATACTACTGTCAAAATCAAGAACAGACCATGACTAAAGATGATTAATTCTTGTTTCTGACAGAGGATACCTATCTGGTGGAGATGGTACTACTGGGCATGTCCGGTCTCTTGGACCCTCTATGGGTTGATTGCTTCACAATATGGAGACATCAAGGATAAACTAGAGGGTGATGAAACTGTCGAAGATTTTGTGAGGAATTATTTCGATTTTCGGCATGACTTTGTTGGAATTTGTGCAATCGTAATTGTTGGGATCCCTGTGCTATTTGCATTCAACTTTGCACTCTCCATTAAAGTATTTAACTTCCAGAGAAGATGAGAGGTTTTTCCATTTTTAAGATAGTAAAATGTATAGAGCAATCAAAAAACCTATCATACTTCAAGTTCTGTAGATCATAATTTTTGCTCAAGTTGAAAATTTGTTAGTATATGTATGAATTTATGCAAGCAAGATACAGGCGAAACCTGTCTAGAAGATATTTTCTATTGAAGAAAGAAAAATAAGAGAAACAATACTTTTTGCCGGGTGTTTTTAAACATTTATCTTGTTCATTTTCGTTGGCGCTTTTTTTTCCTGAGATTATGTCTAGACTTAGAGAGATGGAACAACCACCGCAACGAAACCAAACACCCCATGCACTGCACATCACTCCATTATATGCTCCATATTAATATTATTAGGCTGGGATTGATGAACAAGTTTAATACCGCACATCAAAATGTCTTCTTCATGAAAAAATAACTCAGTCAAGATCAGGCCAAACAAAGGCTAAAAGAGCAAGCAACAGATTATGTTTATCAGCTAGCCGCCACATATGTTACAGTTGGAACTCAATTCCCTCAATATCTAAAACTACAACTAAAACTCTAAATTAGAGAGAGAAAGAAAAGGAAGATGTCACTGCCTCATTTTGCCAAGTCATCCAAGAAGCTCTGCAACTCCCTCAAGCCCTCAGCGGATATGCTCCTTTGCACCCTTTGGCGTGGGGCAACCAAGTTACGGGGAGGCTCAGACTGGAAGCAAACGACAATAACAGCTAAATTATCGCCGCTCTTCCTCTTCAAGGCTTCATCAATGATATCTTTGCTACACATGACTGGGTCATTGTGCTGCTGAAGCCTCCGCCTAGCAAAATCCACAGCGTTTTGGCTCCTGAACACATCCCAGATCCCATCACAACCTATAATGAGGAATTCATCTTCCTCTGTCAATTGTCTAGACATAAGCTCAGGCTCAGCACTTAGTGGCCCACCATCACTGCCACTAAATTTCAGTCCTTCCATGTGCCAGTCTCCCAAAGCACGTGCCACATTGAGAAGTCCATTGAGATAACCATCATAAATGTACCCCCCACATGCCTCGATGCGCTTCCTTTCTTTGCTGCACGTTGGTTTGTGATCATTAGACATGTCAATGGCATTGCCACGGCGGCACAGCACTGCTCGACAATCTCCAGCATTTGCCACCACTAACAACCTGCCATCAGAAACAAATAGAATATTAAATAATCAAAAACTTTCATTCCTCACGAACCAACTTTTAGAAGAGAAACCACAGACCCTGCCTTTATGGGCTCTTATGGGTGAATTTGGAGATATTACCTAAGGCCAAGCCTAACAATTATTTACCTGCAGCTTTTTATCTCCTTAAATAAACTTGTATTATCAGCCTCCCTGAGAAATATCCCAATGGAGGCTTGCCCTTGAATATGGAATGTGGCTCAACCCTATTTCAGGCTCATCAAGAGTCTTATTATAGTTTGGGTAGCTCATATCTACTCCAAATAAATGTAATTGGTGAAATTAAGCACCAGGGACATATATTCTTAGCAATCTAACTAATACAATGTACCAAAGCCTAGGTTAGTGAGCATTGAATGCTCCATGAAAGAGAATTACATAATACAACCATTAACATATAAAACAGTTGGTAGATGGATAAATGCTAACCTCCCAACAACAAGAGCTGTCAGTGCGGTGGTTCCAGAAGCAAGGGCTGCATCCAGGGAGCAAGCCTTCTCAAAAGCAGAGTCGGTTTGCAGAAATGCAGAAGCTACGACCCTCTCAACCTCCATGGGAAAGTCTTCATCCTCAGCAATGAACTTTGGTAGATGGTAGCATGCAAAGTCAGCAGCATGCTTTCCTCCATGTCCATCAAATACCTAACCATCAATACAGAACTCCATGTTAAATTGCCAAACATTACTATTGCCAAACAAATGATATAAAACTACTATCAACATAGGCTCTGTGCCATGAGACATGCAAAACCAAAAATAACATCAAAACAACATCCGCACCATCAGTGATAGAAAAAAGGTTACTCCGTTATGCAAGAACAATACTGCCTCCTTCAAAAACCACCATTACCTCCATTGCTAGCGCATTACAATCACCACTAACAAAAAATCATGAACATTTTTCATAACATCAATTCCTCTAATACAACCATCATTACAGACTAAAATCAGTGGCACCAGCATTAAACACTTCCACCACCATTAAATCCTACACCCATCCACAGCTGCACATTGACCATTTCCTCAAAACACAACTGACTTCAACCAATACTCATCACCACCATAACTGATATCAATGCCATCAGTATTGCACTCGCCACCAACCCCACCAAAACACAATTTTTTACCATAGCCAGGATAATCACAAAAACAAGCTTTCAACTATTCTTTGTGACAACAGTTGAATAAAAGATAAAAATATTGTTTTTCTTGAATATCAAGCAAAAACAGAAGGTTCTATCTCGCAAGGCCTCAAGTTTGTCTTACAACCTGAGATACACTTGATAGAAATGATATTATATTATGAATTGCAAATTTTAAGAAGTTCATAAATAAATGGAAAGGGACAATGCTCCAATGAAATCTAGAATATCCTGCACATCATTTGCAACAAAGAACAGTCGATAGCATTCTTGAATACCCCAAACAAGGGATCATAAGTAGAAATAAGAGAAACAAAATAGTACCCCATAAAAAGCATTGGGCTCATCAGTTGCATTCTTGAGTCCGTGATCACTCATAAAATTGTCAGCACATACATACACATCTTCCATGCTTGAGCGAAAGCCAATATCCGCCCATGCTCCAGAGCGAACAATTGGAACAAAATCTACATTGTGATTTTCTGCACCAAGCTGAGGTTTAACAGAGATATCCAAAGTCTTTGTCTTTAGCTGCAAAAAAATCTGGTCAAAACCTTGACAACGAGAACTGTACATCACCAGTGCTTCCAAAAAAAAAAACTGTTCATGATATAAAATGTAGTCCAACAAAAAGATTTTGATAACAATACAGTAAGAATATGCTGCAAACTTGGACATGACTCCCTCATCTCATTTCAATGCTTACTAACAGTCTTTTAACTTCCTAATTCCTGCCACATATAATGATCTAAAGCGGATAATAATTTTACCCAAAAACTCTTCCCGAAATCACTACCCGAAAATCTCCACCATCGTATTCATGGGACCTGACGCATTACGCTTTACAATCAGCGGATAGAAAAAAAAATCATAATTTAGACTGCATTCCATTAAATCACTAACAACTTCCTTCTCTTGAAGTCCAGTTCAATGAGACAATAGTTACAAATATATTACATAATGCGACTAGAAGAACAACACAATCTAAAAAAGGAAAACAGATCAAAGCTAACAAACCAATTCAATCCAATCAAAAACCAAACTTTAATTAATCAAACAACAAATAACACATAACCCATTTACATGTAAAACACACAAAAAGAACCCATTAAATCACTAAAACATAAACAGTAACCAAAACCCAAATTTTTTAAACCAAAAAAAAAAAAAAAAACAGAGATGCCATAAAGGTCTAAAATCTAGAAGCTTACAAGAGACTGATGGCGAACCAGAGTATTTTTACAGCTAACGGGCACGCGATCAATGCTAAAACACTGTCTACACGACGTCGTAGTAGCAGCAGCAGCAGAGAGAGGTATTGGTGGTCTACTATTACTATCACTCGAACTCCCATTATTTCCTTCCATTTTTTCACATTCCTTAAAAAACCCACCACCAAAGGATAAGGGGACCAAAAAGCGCGACTCACTGAGTTCAGCTAACTAAGCAGTGACTCACTGAGTCGACTCAGGTAGAAATCGAATGTTGGAGGGGCTGAAATATTGGAACTGTTTTTGAGAATGCTAGCGGCAAAGAGGTCAATTTGGAGATTTGCTAGGGTTAGGGTTTTAGATTAGAGAGAAAGAGAGAGAAATTAGGGTTTTAAAGGACGCAACTTTAGCGATTCACTGTTGCACTGTAAACTATACAGAGAGAGAGAGAGAGACTTTGGGCGTTTAGAGAGATGCACTGTTTTTCTTTTGTTGGTGAAGGCAAGAGTTGTAAATGGTTGGTTTTTTTAGGTGGACGTTGACGACGTCGTTTTTCATAAAGATTTGGTGGTCTCGCTTTCATAGTGGTACCAAACTTTTTATTTAATTCTCTTGCTGCCAACTCATATTTTCTAATCAACTTTCTTATTTTACCACTTCCATCTCATAAAATATAATTTTATTTTCATACTTTTATTTGATTTGAAGTTTGAATTATAGTAACCGTCAAAACTGTCATGTAAAATTCCAGTAAAAATTTTATTTTTTGTAATCAAACCTTATATTTAAGGATTTTATTAAAAAAATTCAATTATTATACTCGCACTTGTGTTATTCATAAATTGATTATCTGTAATGCATTAATAATTTTTTTATTCAATAATAAGCAATATTTTTATATTTTTCAAAAGTAAATTTTTTCTTTCCAATTATTTAAAAAACTCATCCTTTAAATTGGATCTGATGCATTTAAAAAAAATTAATAATAAATTCTTCATAATGTTGAAATCACCGTTGCATATAAATAGGAAGAATAATTGGTTAAGGAGAGTGCAGCTTTGAATTATAGTACCTTTTTTTACTTCATGGGGAAATGGGAATATGTGAAGCTTTTTGCATGGATTTCGGAATGATGGGTGCTTTTTAATGGGGTTGTGTACACTTTTTATTGGTTAAGTTTGATTTAATTATTATTTTATATGCTAAAATGGACCGACATTTAACCATAATTAGGGTCCCAATGCGATCGGCATGGGATAGATTTTGGTTGCTTCTTTTGAAGATTAAGATTCTATTTTGTACTGAATTATAAAGTGATAATACATTAGTAAGTATTATTAATTTATAGATCGGCTTTAAAGTTTGATTTTTGTGATAAATATTTTTAAAATATTTGATACCGTTTGTTGAAAAATATTTCTTAATCATATTTAGGAAAAAATTAATTTTAATATATGTAAAAATTAGTTCGGTAGCAGCGTTGAAAAAAATTCTATTTTGGACTAGGTGATTGCGGCACGGTAAGTCAACCTTGTTTATAATTGTAGTGTTTTTTGTCTTTTTGGGTGGGGAAAAAGGAGAAGGATAGGAAAACAGAATCTGTATTATGGGTCATGTTAGGTAGGATTGGAACAACATTTGACTTGTTAAGAATAAAATTTCTCACCACATGATGTCAAATTTGAATTGATTTAATTAAAAACAGTAACCGATCAAAAATTAAATATATTTAAATATTAATTTAATTTAAAAATTAATAAATTTAATCTCAATTGAAGAAAAATGGACACAAAAATAACTACCATTATCTATAAATATTTAAAAAAAAAATCAAAAATTGAAACAAGCCGGTGTATTGTTTCATTATTTATTAGACCAACTAACATTCCTTTTCCACTGATTATTCAAATGACAAGATATGTGAATTGAGAAATATAATCAATTTAACCATATGCTTAATAGGTTCTTTTCCATATCGTCCAAAATAAAAATATATGAAGAAATGTTATGCCTAAAGTTGGATTCTTTTGCTAACCTTTCTCCACATGTAATTTTTTCTTTAGGTAAAAAAAAATATATTTTTTTTTCCTTTTTAACAGGTAATTTTTTTTTTTTTTAATGGAAAGAGAACGATCCCTTCAATCACGAGGATAGAATTGAAGTAAAATTGCAAGCAGGATTGGAACGAGGGACATGCAGGCCGATCGAATACAATATACTAGGCCCAAGTTAAGGAGGTCAAAACCAATCCACCCGAAGGCCCAAACCCATCAAAGAACCAGCCTAAGAATCCTATATTAACTGTTTTCTTCAATCTCAGGTCTGGATTACAGGAGTGGAGGTGGAAAGCGTTCCATGAAAAAAAAAATGTAAATTTAAAGAATAAGTTAAAACATTTCTCAACTTCAGGAATGTCTTGGCCAAATTAATTTATCACGCTTATTATCCCAAACTTTTGTCAGGAAAATAGTTGGGTAAAACCCAAAAAATATAAGTATTTGGTGGCTTCTACGATGCCTTAGAATACCTTTTCCATCATTAGCAAAAATTGTAAGCCTTTAGATAATTTTTAAAGCAATCCAAACCATTCAAAGTAAATTTCATCATAACTTATCATGACAACATCACCGTTATTTGAAAAACCTTTCACACTTATTATATCCCCTAATTTTTTATTAGATCGCAATTAGTTTTTTTATTCGTGTTTTACTATGAATCGGATAGAACACATAAAATTATTTCAGTTTGATGATCCATGTTATATTGTGTCTCTATCAAAATATATCAAATCAAAATTAAATAAAAATTTATTCAATTTTATAAGTTTTTTAATCAAAATTTTATATTTAATCGATTATTCTTTATATTTTTTAATAAATTTTTGATTAAAAAAATATTATTTACTTATCTCTATCCAAATTCTTAACTAAAAAATTTATAATAATGTAAGAAAAATATTAAAAATTAATGAATTCTTAGCTAAAAACTTATTTTGTAAATTATTTTTTTCTAAACATTTTTTGTTTTTGCCTTTAAATTTTTAATTAAAAAAATAAGGACCGAAATGACTAAAATAAAACAAAAAAATTACATGTCAAAAAAATAAAAAGACACTAACGTATAATATCATGAAAACTTTCATAATAAAAACTTTTTTAAAAAATAAAAATTATAAAAATGCCTCTACGTAGTGAAAAAAATAATATATATGAGTTTGATAAATAGTATAGATAAGTTTGGATGAATAGTATTTCAAATAGTATAATAAATAAATAATAATTTTAGTTTATTATTATTATTATTATTATTATTATTATGTTAATGTCAAAAAGAAAAAACCTTAATCCACTGATGCCATCTAGGTACACTACAAATGAGTAATTCCCACCCCCAACCCAAAACCAATTGTTGAATATTTTTTTAAACTTGGGAACAATAATTTAGTATTATTTTGAAACTCCCAATAAGGTTAAGCTTCGCAAGCCAAACAAAAGTTACAAGTAAAAGAAGGTAGGGTGGGTAGTGAGTACGACTGCCTTGTCTTGATTTGCTTTCAATCTCAACGTTTAATATATATATATATATTATTACGAAAAATTTTATATGAATACTTTTAAAAAATTTGAAAACCATAAAAATGTTCCTGCATGATAAAAAGAAAAATGTATATGAGTTTTAGTGAATAATATAAATAAGTTTGAATGAATAATATCTCAAATAATATAATAAATGATAAATAATTTTATTTTATTTTATTTTCCCAAACCAATTGTAGAATATTTCTTTTTGATTTTCTTTCGATCTCCAAAGAGTTCCGGAAACTTGGGAGCAATAATTTAGTATTATTTTGAAACTGTCCAATAAGGTTAAGCTTCGTGAGCCAAAAAGGAAAAGGTTAAAAGTAAAACAAGGTAGGGTGGGTAGTGAGTACGACTGCCTTGTCTTGGGCTACAAATCTTGCAATCTACAGGAAACCATTTCTAACACGCGTCTCAATGGCCAAAAAAATTGGAAGACGGCAAGCAATGAATGGTGGCTTGATTCGAGGGTCCAACCCACGTGTCCATACACAAGCTATTGGCCTTTCTTGTCGCTATATATTGAACCATCTACCAGCCATCAATAGTAGAATCTTGAAAGAGCAAACCCTTGTAAGTAATAACAAAGAGAGAGAAGAAAACATGGCAATTAGAACCAGTTGCTGCCTCAATCTCTCCCCTCCGAGCTCTGCTTCAACCCTCCCTTCTTCCTCTACAAAGAACTCCCAGGTTGCTTGGTAAGTCCAAACCTCAACTCAGCTTAATTAGTTTCTAATTCATCTTATCAATACAGCTATGTATTGCTTCTAACATAGACCACTTCGTTAATTAAAATCAAAATGGCTTGATTGGAACTTTTTTTAAACTTCCATTACTTTTGTCACGAGGTGCTTACCAAATTTGAACATTTTTATTTCATTTCGTGTAGGTTCAAGAATGAAAAGTGGAGGAGTCAATGTGTTTTGGGCATGGCATGCATGGTAATTGGATCAGTGGAAATGGGTGGTGATTTAGTTAGTGGTCATGAAAATCTTGCCATGGCTAGGGAGATGCAAGCGGTTGTGGAATCAAAAGAAAACTGGAAAGGGCCGAGATGGAGTGACAAAAGAATCTGCCCTCCATGGCATCAAAATTCATTAGAGACTATTGTGCCGGAGAACCTTCCAAGGCCATCGTCAGCTCATCGGAGATGGCCGGAGGTAGTTGGCTTTTCCAAGAATAATGCTCCGGCAGTCAAAGTGATTGTGATAGAAGGAAGCAACGGTTGCTTTTCAATGTAAAATATTCAATTAGATTTTCAATTCATATATACATGTCGTATTCAATTTAAAGAAAATTCATCATAGGAGAAAGATCATGTACTCATACAACCTTAATCTAAACAAAATTTTATACGAAATCAAATCTTATGAATATATTAATATGGATATGTTGGTTTTTGGTATTTGAAAACTAGATTTTTTTTTTTTTTCCTTCCAAGTTTTTGCTGATATTGGTATGATTTTTAGAATATCTTGTAACTTTTATTGACAATTGACATCAGAAATATCTAACAAGTGTTCTAAGTTGGTACTGTCTGACCAAAAACATGTACTACAAATGGATGATTGGCTTAGAATTAGAAAGAAAGTACTGAAGTAGTACAACTTGGTCTGGGCTTATTATGGTCTGGGCTTTAGGGATTGATGGGCTGGTCATCTTACAATGCAACGAATTGGGCTGGTCATCTAATTATAATTTTTGGAGTACTTTACAAAACTACGGAGACTAGTAAAAGACGTCTTTGGGCTACTTTGGTTCCGTTCCTCTCTTGTTGGGCCCTGCTGGATTTTTTGAAAACTGATTAGATCTTTTCTCATTTCGGTAAGATTTGGGCTTCAACTCATTGAAAAGTTCTTAGACCAAATTGGGTTGGTCCAAAACTATGCTGATTCGTACTGTTTTAGTCCTTCACTGCACCATGGTTGATAACATGGTCCAAAACAATATAAACAGTCTTCAGATCGATATGGACAATGTACTTTTAAAATTGCACAAAAATAGATTTTAAATTTGGTTTCCGTACAAATTGGATTAAGGATACACCTTATTATTGAATAAAAAAAATTATAAAAGACTTTACTAACATTTCGATTCTACAAAAAAAAAAAAAAAAAACTTTGAAAATGTTTAAAATAAGCCTCGGCAGCCAATAATATCGATATCTAATAACTATAGGTTCAAACTTAAAAAAATTGGAGCATGCCCGTGGTATATTCCATTACATTACCGAAAACAGAATTAATGTTTTTTATGGTATAAGGTAATTGATGAAGATTGTTGGTTTCGAATCCAAACTAAACATATGTATTCTAGTGCATGCATTTTATATTAGATCGATGCATGTAAAACACAAATTTCTCCAAAACATTTTTAAAAAATGTATAAAAAAAGTCAAAAGAGAAAATTCTAAAAATGCTTTAAAACAAGAAAAATAAGAGTTGAAAACATTAAATCAAAATTCATCCCATTATTATATGAGACGTGGTTAGGTTGTTTATGTCCCACTTCAATCGCGATCCCTTTAAAGGCAATGATGCATTGAAGTTGTATTGCTTTTCTTAATTCATTTCTATCTCACACAACCACATTTCTTTAATAAAATAATCCATTTTTTCATAGAAGAAGAGGAAGAAAGAAAAGTAATAAATACTTTAATAGTACACACGTCCAACATCAAAGTACAACGAAAATAAAGATGAAGAAATGAAAAGAGTGGAAACTTTACATAATGTTGAAGTTAAGAAGCGAAGCAAAATTGAAATTGAACCGTGGAGAGAGAAGGAGAGGCAAAAAGGAAGAGAGAGAGAGAGAGAATTTTTTTTAGCAAAATCTATTTTGATTTAACTTTTACTTACTTTTCTAAACTATTGTTAGTATATATACATACATCTTAGCGAGTAAGTTAATATTCTAGCTAACCTAACAAACTTAACTAATTACTCGCACATGTAGCTCTAACTCTAACAACTTATACACATGACACCGTTTAATATTTTGATACTCCTCCTCAAAATGAGTATAAATGTTGTTCACACTCATTTTGCTTATCAAACCATGGAAAATCATAGGTTGTAAAGCTTTGGTGAAAACATCCGTAAGTCGTTGGTCACTGAGACAAGTGATATGGTTGAATTAAACTAGAAATGATCTCCTCACGAATGAAATGGCAATCAACTTCATCGTGTCCAGTCTTTTCATGGGAGATTGAATTTCTACAAAGATGTAAGGTGGATTGATTATCACAAAAAAAAAAAAAAAAGCAAAGATGGTTATGTATGTATAATGCCCGATCCTAAAACAACAAAAGCCTCATAATCTCACATGTAGTAGCTATCATGGCCTTATACTCTACCTTTGTGTTCGTTGTGAGTAATTAAGTTCTACCTTTTAGATTTTCAGCTACTCAAGGAACTTCTCAAGAAAACACAAAAACTTGAAACCGACTTTCTAGTCTCCGGACATCCAATCTAATCATTGTCCGAAAAACACCTCAATTGAAGAGAAAACTTAACCGAAAATAACAAACCTCGTCTAAGTGCGTTCTTCAAATATCTAAGCACCTTATGTATAGCTTATAAATGAACTAAGGTTAGTTTATCCATAAACCGAGCAAAAACATGCATTGCATAACATATATCAAGCCCGCTGAAAATTAGATACAAACTTTACCTACAAATTGTATGTATTCAATAAGATCACTTAGCATGATTCTCCGAAACATGTTATGGCTTTTGTGTAGGTTGCATAGAAGTGGACACAGAGTTTAGAATCACTAAAACCATACTCATACAACAAGTTTAAAGCATATTTTCTTTAACAAATAGCAATCCTTTTTATTGATTTAGCTACTTCGATTCTCAATAAATATTTAATAGAACCTAGGTATTTCAAGTTAATTTTCATGCCAAGAAATTCCTTCAAGGTAGCAATATTAGAATGAGAGTTTTCTCGCAACCACAATGTCATCCATATACGGTAACAAGGCAAGAAAATTCTGGGAATCAAGACTCATTATAAATAAAAAGTAATCTACCTTGGATTGTTGAAAACCAAACTCAACCAAAGCAACAATGAAATTTGTATTGCATTGCCTAGAATCCTGTTTTAAACCATATAAGGGCTTGTGTAATTTGCAAACCAATTTCCGTGAATGATCCATATATTCCTCCTTAAATTGGTAACCGTAAATAAGATTCATATATTCCTCCTTAAACCATACAAGGGCTTGTGTAATTTACAAACCAATCACCATATAGGAAAGCATTATTAATGTTTAATTGAGAAGGGTACCAATCTTTAATTGTAGCCAAGGGTAGAAATAATCGAACAATAGTGTACTTAGCAACTAGACTAAATGTTTCTTATTAATCAAATCCTTTAACCTAACCGTAACCTTTTGTAACAAACCTAGCCATGTATCTTTCAATGCTACCATTAACTCAAAGCTTAGCCTTGTAAACCCGTTTGCATCCTATTATGTGATGACCTACGAGTAAAGGAACAATAAATCAAATATTATTTTTCTCAAGAGCTAGTAACTCGAATCGCATAGGTTCTTTTCGGTGCTCAAATTTCATAGCTTGGAAATAGGATTGTGCTTTAAAAATGTTAGATAAGAAACAATAAAAACAATATGTAAAGAAGTAGACAAATAATGATGAATGGGATATGGAGTAGCATGAATGAGGTTGCTTGTGAAAAATAGTAGGTTTGAAAGAAAGAGAAAGATTATAAATATCTAAGTAAGCAAGAATCTTAGCAATTATATTAGATTTCCTTAAATGAATAGGTGTAGAAGAAGTTTCATAAGAAAGAGGATTGAAATTACGAGATACGGGAGAAACTAATGGAGAAGAACTATAAGAAGAAAACTCGAAAGAAACTAATAAAAAAGACATAGGAATGGAGTTTATACGAGTCTCTCTAGGACCATTAATAATCTCAATAGAAGAGTTATAGAGAAAAAATAAATGAGAAGGTTGAATGCTAGTGAAATCGAACAAATTAGATGTAGAGGAATTAGAGATTAGTGAAGATAAGTCATGTGGAGAAGAAAATGAGAAAAAAAAACAAAAGGAGAAAAAGGAAAGATGGTTTCATGAAAAATAACATCCCTAGACACCAAGACCTTATGAGAAATAAGATCATAAACCTTATATCCTTTAATTCCAAGAGGACATCCAAGGAAGACACATGGAGCAGCCACTTAGATAGAATTTCTTTCCGTTATGAACAAACGTAGAAATAAAGCATAAGGACCCAAAAACCTTTAAATAACCATAAAGAGGTGGTAATTTAAACAAAAATTCATAAGGACTTAAATTATCCAACAAAAAAAAGGTGATCAAATAAGCAGCGAGTAAGAACAACATCCCCTTAAAGTTTGATAGGAAATGATGCCTAAAAGAGAAAAGAACGAGCTACATTCAATAAATGTTGATTTTTTTTTTCAACAACGACATTCTATTGAGGAGTCCTTACATAAGATAGCCGATGAATCATGCCTTTAGAAGTATAAAAAAGTGAAAGATAAAATTCAAGACCATTGTCAATTCTAATGTCTTTAATGGAAAAAATAAATCGTGTAAGGATCATTCGGTAGAAAGAAGGAATAATAAATAAGACATCCGACTTATGTCAAAGCAAGAAGATCCAGGTGACTTTAGTAAAATTATTAACTATACTTAAAAAATAATGAAAACCACCAAGATAAGTAATTGAGTATGGATCCTATATGTACATACGAACCAATTCGAAAGGAAAAGATGTATTTTTATTATGAATAGGAAATGAAAATCTTTTCGTTTTACCAAAGGAAAAATAAAACAAGCATTGTTGTTACATTAAATAATAGAATGCTTTTTACTAATTAACTTAATCCTATCAAATGATACATGACCTAATCTGTAATGTCATATGTCAAAAACTAAATGACTCGTTGAATTTGTCACTAATAGTTTGAATATTGCAAGAGTGTTTAACAAAAGAGAAAAAAGAAGCTGGAACAGTATCGAAAAAGAATAACCCTACTTGAAGATCAGCAATTCCAATCATTGTCCTTAAAGAGTTGTCTAAGATCATACAAGAATTATCAAAAATAATAATTAATATTGAGAATTTTTTGTAAGTTTACTAATAGAAATAAGATTGAAGTGAAAGGAAAGAACATAGAGAACATCATATAGAATAAAGGATCATGACATATAAACTTAGTCAATGTGAGCAACAATAACTTCAATGCCATTTGACATTTGGCATGTCATAGCATACATTGGTTTATAGGATTTGAAACATTAAAGAGAGTATTATATACAATCAATTGAACTCTGTATCGATTATCTAGATGTGTGGATTAAAGAAAGATATTATAGTTTGTAAATGAGAAGTAGATACCATTGGAGTATTACTACTTGTGAGACTGGAAACAAGTTAATAATGAGATGTAGTAAAATGATTAACAAGGTTTGAGGATTGTGAAAATGAAGCATGTGAATCTTAAACACTTAAAGAGTTATGAGCACGGAAACTTGCTCTTAAGTAAATGTAATATTAGGTGTTGTAACTTGATTAGAAGAAATAGTATTGACGGTAGATGCGAAGCAGTATACTTCTTATTCAACAATGATATTATTGATATATCAAGAAGAAGAAACCACCATGTCTAAAAAAGCTCCACTACCATTGAATCCTTTGTTCTTAGTAAACTTGAAATTAATAGGAAATCCAATAATTCCGTAACATTTATCCTTATTATGATTAGGTTTACCACAATAAGAACATGTAATATCCATACTTCTTTTATTATTATAATAGGCAACCATAGTATAATTTCATGAAAATATTGATTTATGACTTGAACAAACCTTTGAGATTCTTCTAGCATAGCCGGATTATAAACTTCATCTAGATTGAAAAAAGGCCTCATAACTAAAATTTGAGACTTTAGTGAAGCAAATGACTCATTTAAACCACGAAATTTGAGCAAATAATCTTTTTCGTTAATATCTACAAACTTTTGAAAGCAATCAACATTGCAAGTTCCACAAGTTGTAATGAGGTAAAGGCCTAACGTTTCTCAACTCTTCCCATACTCCATTGAGTTCGGTAAATAAGTATTGATGGCCGAGTAACTTGAGCGATTAAACACAAATTCCATTGCTAATTATAAATTTTGGATTCATCCGTCTGTGAAAATCGTTTCTTCAAAACTTTTCAAATCTTTGAAGGTAAATTCATGTGAAACACCGTAGCAGACAATAAGAGGTAACATCAACCTTAATAACCAACCCATAATTAAATTATTACACATATCCAAGAATTGAAGAGGAAATCATCCTCTTTAGATTGAGAAATTGAACCATCAACAAAATTTAGCTTGTTGCAAATTAAAAAAGTAAGCATGCAAGATCTACTCCATGTAGCATAATTCTCCGTGGTGAGCTCAAGAGTAATTATGAGAGAATCATGATGATCCGAATGATGAATAAAATATGGCAAATGAGGATCGCTAAGCATTGGAACTCGTTTTAGTCACGATTCAACGAATGATGAACTAGAAGGTAAATTGAATTGAAAAAAATAGATACTAAATCAACAAGATCAAGAAGAACTCTAGAGTATATTAAGTTTTGATACCATGTTGAAATTGAGAAGCATAATCAAAATTGAAATTGAATTGTCAAATACATATATATGTGCATTTTAGCAATAAGCTAATATTCTAGCTAACTTAACAAACCGACAAACTTATCTAATTAAGATTAACTAATTATGACAACTTACACACGTGGCACTAATTAATGTTTTGAGAAATACTTGAATAACACACACCTCTAACATCCAAAAACTAGGAAAATGGAGATGAAGAAATGAAAAGAGTTTCCACTTTCCATACGTGACGAATGAACACATTATTGTTGATTAAAGTAAAGAGATTATTGGATTAATTGAATATTTGTATTTTTAATTTCAATTAATTGAATACAATTTACTGAAATTGTAAAAGGGATTAGTAAATCAATAAGAAAAACGGATTGAGTAGTGATATTAATAAAAAAAAGATAGAAAATTTGATAATAATGAATCATGTACGAAAACAACACTCAATTAACTAAAATAAATTTTTAATTTAAAAAAAATTATATTCAATGGACTAAATTTATAATAAAGGGATTTTTTTTTTTTTTTTTGGATGAAATGATAAAATATATGATGCAAATAATAGAATAGCCTTCCTTCAAGACTGGGTTACCAAATGTAAGGTAGACATGAGGACTAGCAAGTGGTAAGAGCACGACGAATTTCAAGTAACATATGAGTAATGGGGTTGAAATTGAAACAAGGTGGCACTGAGTTGGTGAAGTTTCTCTGAAGGCCTGCAAAAAGCAATTTATTTTGACAAAAAATGCATGAGTAGCTGCTACCTCGGTAGATATTAGGTCTTAGGTTTCCTCTGTTTCCTCTTAAATTCTAATTATATCCGCACAATATTTTTCTGTTCCAACAAAAGAAAAGCCAAATAAAGAAGTCATTATGTTATAGGGGTGGTCACCCTGCTTAAAAAAGAATCCTTTTACGGGTCTCATGGAAGCTAATTCATCAATTAGTTATAGGCAAATCTTATAGTATCTCATAGTTACAATCAGATCTTACAGAATCATAGAATGAATTCACTAAGCTTTTTTGCTAACAAGACGATCATGTGTTAATTATTTAAGAAAAAGGACAAGTTTAGATTTATATCTAAAGTTTGTGAAAGAAAGAAACTACTATGATCATATCCATCTAGACACCTAGCTAGGGAGATTCCATTATGGATTTCACCAACTTTATTCTGCATCTGCATCTGCATATATATTTTATAAGATTTTGTTGGAGAGATTCCATCATGGAATTCACCAAATTTATTCTGCATCTGCATATATATTTTATAAGATTTTGTGGGGCTTGTTCCTTGAATCTTTTTGGATCTCATGATTTTGCAAGAAACTTATGAAAAGCTTTAAGCAATATAAATGAATTCTATAATCTTTGACAGGATCGAGTTGCTTACACCTATAAAGAAACTAATCTTATAGCTGATTGATTTGCTTGTCATAGTTATTCCTTTCGGATTGAAATTCCTTATTTTGTACCTGCTCTTATAGGATGTATTAGTATCTTTTTAAAGAACATTTGTGGAATGGTTTCTCTCAAAATATGTAACAGACACTACTTTACTTAAAGCTTTATCTCTCCCATTGATTAAAAAAAAAATTATAGATTCGTAAATCTCATCAAGAGAAGTTCGATTTGCTTCAGAATTAATTCATTAAACATTAATCCCAATAACATCCTTTTCTCCCCTACTCTTTCACACATATATATGCTTGGAAGAAGGTTTTTTTATTATTATTATTATTATTATTATTTGGATAAAGACAATTTGGGTAAATGACGATATATCCTAACTCACTCAAGTCAAATGAATTTTATAATTTTAGAACATATTCCAAAAAAAGAATTCAATTAACAAATCAATTCAATTCAATCTACTTAAATAGTTGAAATCAATTTTAATATAAAGTGCTTCAAAATCTTCGTGACCAAGGCTATACTTTCTTTTGAAAAAAAAATTGTCTTTGGCAGTTAACTTTTAGACTAGAAGTATTTTCAGCTCTCGGCTAACTTATATATATATATATATATATATATATATAAAGTAAAAATCATTTATGTTTTTCCTCAAAATGACGTTGTTTTAAGTTTTTTTTTTTAAAAAATTACTTTTTTAACAAAACAACGTTGTTTAATAAATCCGAACAGTGATTTCCTATCCTATTATATGTTGTTATCGATTGCAGATCCAATTTTCTTCAGATATAGGAAGTTACACTCCCACAACACTTAATTTCCTTTTCTAATACTGTGTGTTTTGTTCATATACTAAGTTCTATGGGCTACGTTTGTTTTGTGCCTTGTAATCCGTTAAAACCTATACATATAGATAACACAACTATAGGGTCGGCTTGTTTACTGCCGAAACAATCATTCCTAAACTTCTCTTTATCTGCTTAGATTAGGACTAGCTAACTAATTTTAAGAATTAATTACAAGCAAATGTCAACTATAGATGTGACATTCTATGCAACATTGTAATAATTGGCCTAATGGCTTGATGAAGAACGCAATTAAACCACCATCTTCTCAAGGATAAAAAGCATTATCAAGCCTAAACTCCTCACCTTATCGAACATCCTATGTACGACACAGCAAAAACCATTCATTTGCTTGTGAACTTGTCCATGGACACACCAAAACGTGTACAAATGATTGCCATAAGAGCACCCCAAGGCAATGATTGAATGGAAGAGCTAGAGCTAAGGAGCGTCAAATTTGCTGTAGCCAATATAGAATCATTGTCCAATAGTTATATAAGCAAATGGCAAAGATCCAGTCCTACAGTATCCCACTAAGAAGCTGAGGCTTCCACCAGCAGCAGCAGTAGTATCATAGACCTGAACTGAGGCCTAGATTGAAGAAGATTTCATCGATCAATATTCAACTGGAAAGCATATATATTCCAAACCTGCAAGACCACCTCCCCTATAGCTTCTGGTCCAGACGTTCATAATATCAGGAAATATTCTTTGGCATGGAAAGCGTACAAACATGGGGCCTAATTTTTTGAGCATCGCACATAGTAATCACGCGGTCATGATCACCAGCTTGAAGAATTTGCTTAAACTTTTTGCAAAAGCCAGTGACAATTGTTTAGTTGCTTCTTGCTTCATGGGGTCCTTTAACTTTCTCCCTTTAGTATCATTTAGAACGGGAAAAAAATATAAGATCCTTGCTGCAGCACGATTGGACTGCAGAGTTACTAGCAACTTGGAGTCTTGTCTAGCTAGTTATAGCAGAAAAAGCTTTGCGCATGCGAGGAGTTTGGACTCTAATGTAGGCAGCTGGCACAAATATATACCTAAAAAAAATTAGGTTGTACCATACTTTATATATTTTCAAAGTTTTTCGTGGGGGCCCGAAATTCTACTCTGAACTTGATAAATCCAACTATAAAAGCTAATAGAGTTGCCCATAAATTCGTACAATCATATAACATGGAGTGGGCTCGGTTGATTGTATATTGGATATTGATGGGCTACCTTCTTATAATCCAGGCTTTGGGAGACTATGGAATTTCAAATTTTCATTTTGGTGATTGCCTCTTGTTCTACCGTTTTTCTAAAATTAGAATGACAGATATGCATGGAGGGTTTTGAGTTAGTGCTTTTCTCCCTTATAAGAGAATATGAGAGCGTCCTTTTAATTTTTATTAATGCACCATGAGTTATTTAACCCTTGATGTGTTTTTAATCATAGATATGTCAAAAAAAAAAAAAAAATTCATGATGTAACCACTAATATGATGGAAGGACCATGAGTGACTAATAATAAAGGATTTATTCCATCATTGATCCATGTATAGTTTTAATTTTTTTATTGAGATTCTTTATTATTTTTAGTTTTATTAAAACTTTCTACTCTTATAAATTTGTTGATTGAGATCATTTGTTATAACGTCGTTAACTATTCATTATAGATGGTAAGTTAAAAACTAATAATAACTAATTAGACAACGACACGTGATGAATTTTTTTAATCCGTATTTCCACGTGTTAGTTCTTGATTGGCACATAGGATGAATAGTTAATAACGTTATAATGGAGGGTCTCAATCAATAGATTTATAAAAGTATAAGGTTTTAATCAAACTGAAAAATAATAGAGGGTTTCAATAAAAAAATTGAAGTTGTACATATCAATTATAGGATAAACTCAAAATTGAAACTAAAAGGTATTGTGTAACCAGAATTGGAGTATGGGGTAAAATATGAAAAATTTTCAAACCTTGAGGGCCACAAAAGTACCCTACCGGTTATAAAATACAGGAGGAGGTTGTAATTGCAATTTCATTAATTTTATGGAAGTGATTAGTGAACGGAGAAGATAAGAGGGAGCGAAACATTAACGTTGCAAGTCGAGCAATGATGTCATTAGGAAAACAGTCAAACACGTACATTCCAATGCATCCCAGCCATTGGATCTTCCTTGGATTTCGAATGATATTGCCCTTTAGACCGCAGCGGTAGCTGTCTACTCGATGATCAGATTCAAGCGTGCTCTGTAGCAAAAAGATCCAAATTTCAAGCTTAAACAGATTTCAGTTAAATCTTACCATAACAGGCAATAACTACAGGCAAAAGGGTTTTTGACACGTGTAAAGTAAATGACTAAAACACCCTCAACCGTCAAATCAAAATGCACTAATCCTCATACGAAAATAAAGGGTCATTTCTCAGTCCAAGAAACTAAAGAGTGTGTTTTTCTGCTCTTCAATCGCTATCAACCGTCAAGGTCGTTTTGGTCTTTCAAGATATTTTCAGCCATTAAGATTCTACTGGAGATTAGAAATGCCACGTGACTGGCAGGAATGACGGTGGGCTTATATCACGTGACATCACCTGCCATCTGGGCCCAACGGTTGATGACACAAACTTGACCGCGGCCTATGATACATGTATCCATCCGTACAACCTGTCAGTTCTTGAATTACAACATAACAAGGTAAATGAGCCATGGTCTTAATTACTACCAAATTTTGATTTAAAATGCCAAGAAAAACAAAATTGCTCATTTGCTTACTGCTAAACAAACATGGACGTGCAGATCACATTTAGAGAGTTGGATCTTTATTACTAATATTTTAAAAAAATTATTTTTAACATATTCAATATCCTACATTAAAAAATATTATTTAACCATATTTAAAGAAAAATTAATCTTAAAATATACAAAAATTATGTCAAAAACATTGTTATTATTGAAAAAAAATGTTTCTTTTACACACATTAATTTGGACACTATAAATTGGGTCCAAATTTTTAATGCATCAATAAATTATGTGTGTTTACCAAAAAAAAAAAAAAGTGATTTGGTGATAAATGAATGTCTTGATCTAGGCAAGATTAAGATTCAATTTCTATTACTTCATATAACTGGTCATAATTATTTTTTTAATATTATCAGAATTGAGCTGATTTGATTTAAAAAAGAACTCAATAATCGATAAAAGTTAAATGTGTTATGATGATAACTTAATTTAAAAAATAATAAATTTAATGTCAATTGATGTAAAAATTATTTAAAAAATATCTTAATACTTGTGAATATTAAAAAGAAAAATTGTATATGTCACGGTGGATATGGGATTATAACGTGGTTCAACTTAGCACATTTTTTAACCATCTTTATTCATTTAATATAGTAAAAGTTTTTAACATCAAAGTTAGATGATAAGATTTCGATTTTTAGTATTTTTTTTATTAGTTATTTTGGAGTTTTTTTTTTTGTTATGAAAATATTTGTTTTCATTATTAAATCTTAAAATTCATTTATGAGAGGACAGTTGTCATTTAAAAACTTGAAACTTTTGTAAAAAGGCATCATTAAACCGAATAAAAAAGAAGACACGAGGATTTGACAATGGTTGAAGAGATAACTCATCGTAGATGAGCTCAAAATACATTCATGAAATAATGCTTTTATGATTGCTTGTACAAAAGCATCAACCTTTGGATGATGTGATTGATACGAGAAGTAAGAAAAGAAATAGAACTCCATTGTCTAATTAATTTTTGCAACTGTTCTTTTTTTTTTTTTTTTTTTTTGTCCTCGACCTAGCTAAGCAAGTAACAATAAAAATGCATGTCATTTTCTCATTTACAACTGTTTTATTTTATGCATGAGCAGAGGCAATTGTGAATAGTCATATATGAGCTCGGGCCCCTAAGAGATATCTACCCAAAGATTTTCTCATTGAGCAAATTGGAATCTAGAATGGTAAAATTCCAAGTGTGAAAATACCCAGTCGAGGATTCAACTGTAACAAACATGAGAGAAAAAGAGAGGACCCTGGTCACACAGTGGGGACCTATTCACGTTGTTGAAGATATGTTAATGTCAATGACACAAAAACTGTGGTCATGGGAATGTTTGAAACAAGAACCCAACTCTCTCTAGTCACCTTCACCAACCATATATGGCTTAATTATGGAGAAATGAGGGTGCAACTTTGGTTATTCTACGTGCATGATTGAGTTGCTTGCAGCTTGATTGAGAATGATTGACTGGCTTTGATTTCTTTGATGAAAATTGAAATGTGGGGAATGGATTAATTAATGTTAAACTAAATGAATGGGAGAAAGAAACAAATTATATCACTGCTAAAGAAATTAAATGATACCAACAAATTGTTGGCCTCTTAGTCTGGTAATATGAGAGCTGGCTTACGGATGAATTTTTTTATCAATATATACTGTTTGAATTTTAAAATTATATTTGCTGAGATGAATTAAATTTTATCTCTTTCACTTCGAATAAGATTAATCTTATGTCTAATATGAGATGAGGATATTTGAAAAAAAAATATTAAACCAAAAAAACGAAAACTAAGCATGAAAATTATTAATGAAAAAAGAGTATCGATATACTTACAAACAAATCATATAGATGTTGACAAATGCACGTGAAAATGACTATTTTAAATAAATAAATTTTTGGTTCAATAGTAGTGAGTTTTTAATCTTGTAATATATCACGGTTTAAATTCTTCATTCAGAGTATTTGAACTAAAAAAAAACCTCATTGCAATAGGAGGTGAGGGTAGCTTTTCATTTTTACAATGATGATCAATTCAGTCCGTCGTAGTAATACGGCCTCCTTTTCTATTTTATTAATTACTAACTACTTATCCTAGTCTCTTAACTCCTAACAATTGATGTGAGCTAAAAAATAATATTTATGATAAAAAAAAAGGACAACCATTTTGATATCAATCAATTATTTAAACTGGTGATACATCTAATTTTTTGAATTTTTATTGATTACGATTTGTTTTGTACGTAGCATTTTTCTTTAAAAGAACTTAATAGGAATTTAAAGAAGCCATACAGTGGTTAAAGAACAGTAATGCTAGAGGTACAAAATTTAAGAATTATCACATAATTCAAGTCTATTAAAACTAAAACTTTGCGACGTATTTTTATAAAAATGGATACCGGAAACAATGCAATGGTTATATTCAACTTTTTAATTATTATTTATAATTTGGTGTCTTCATTGTCTGCATATTTTCGAAACACTCTTTCAGGCAATTAACTTTTCTTAGTGAGAACCGAAGCAATTGTAATCACTTGTGATATTTTCAGATGGATTTGGGGGTTTTATTCATAGTCCACCACTTTACTAATTTGTTACTTCTAAAAGCTCAATCCTTTTTGGAATGTAACGTTTTAACTATTGGTTCAAAGATGTTTGAAAAGAAAGATCATGGTTGTTGTCTCTGCATTTGATTTAACTATAACTCTATCCAAAAAAAGAGAAAGAATCTGTGTGCGTAAATCCGTTGGGTTTCTTTTTGTTAATTATGTTTCTAGACTGGTACAACTCACTATTACACGAGTTAATTATTGATTTGTGAAATCATTACCACGCGAGCTTAATCACTTTACGAATGTTGCCTTGTAAGTGGATTAATTTATATATTTTTCTGACGTCACAACAACCCTAGTTTCTTAGGATAGGGCATCATTGCTATCTTGTAATGATTAATCTTAGCTATAACTGGTTTTATTTGCTTTCTAATTATAATATGCTTGATAATCATAAGAAACATCTTTTGCCGACACCTTTACCTCTAGCAGTAATTATGAGAATATTCTATGGTCAAAACAACAATATAAGAAAATAAAATTGAAAAAAAGTAGTTAATTTGGGTCCGATAATTAGAATATTATGGCATTTTAATTACGTGGAATAGCAACTAAGAAGAGTCTCGAGACAGATTATAAAATCTAATACGAAGTAGCTGTTTTTTTTTTAATTTGTGTTTCCATGCTTACCTTATCCGTACGAGAACTATGTACCAAGCAAAATTGAATATCCATATAATTAAATTTTTATTATCACATATTTCATGTGATAAACTCTAACCCATGATAATTTATCATGTTATTAATTCAATTGTTTAATTTGAATCTATCATAACACACGATAAGCTAGAGCTTGTCAAATATGTTTACATTGTAAATTAGGATTTAAAATAATAATAACATAAAAGTAAAATCCTTAAATTAAAAAAAAATAATGTATAGATAAAAAAAATTAAATTACAAGGAATGTTAATATGTGCAAAACCCAAAAAAAAAAAAAAAAAAAAAAAAAAAAAAATTGATTATGATAACAAAAATTGAATTATAAAAGAAAAACGATCATTGTTGTTTACTCCGGGATAAGGAGATAGGGGATTAGGGCAACAGTTTATGATTACAGTTCATTAGTCTAACCACTCTTTCTTTTTTAGAGTGGCCGTCGCTAAACTTATAGGTTTTAGATCTTACATCATTCCTAAAAGCTAGAGGTATGAATGGTACGATAGTTTAACATCTATTCGAATCAAACTAATCTACAATTTGGATAATGATTTAGTTTTGGTTGGGTATTAATTAAAGAATAATTTCAATAGCTACGTGCTCATATTCATTGTTTGAATCAAAGCATGTTTTATAGATATATAGAAAAAAAATATGAATTCTGATGGAAATTGACTACATAATAAAAATAGCATTTCTCTACTTATCAAATTTAACACTATCAAAAAATTATCTTAATAAAAAAAATTAAACAGTTAAGTGAATTTTTAAAAACGATTAAATTCTTTTAAAACACTTTCTTAAATAAAAGCTACTTGAATTTAAAATTCACACATATCCATCACTAAATTATATTTAATTATTTTTTTTATAAGAGAAAATGAAAGTGACGATATTCGAATTCATAATCATTTTATCATGAAAATTATTTTAATTCAAAAATTTAAATTGTTAGGTAAAATTTTAAAAATGATTTTTTTTTCTACAAATACATGATGTCCTGTAGATGAAAATTTTAAATCTTAATTGCTAGAAGTTATAGATTCGTTTAAATAATTAGTTGGAAGGATTGGTTATACTAAATATCATAAGTTGAAAACTCTTAGTTGAAGAAAATTCCGCCAATTCAATGACCTAATGCAAAGATTTGAAACTTCAAGTTACTACTTAAAAAAAGGAAAGAAAATAAAAAAATAGAAGGCCGTAAGTCCTTATAAATAAGACATAAAAAAAAATGGATTCCAACTAAGAGTGCGTGCATATACATATATATTCCAACCCTAGATATTCTTCTCGATCTTCTTTAGATTTTGTCCATTTGTAGATTGGGTGAATCTAAGCTTCCTAGATACTCGCATCCAACATTATCAAAACGGACGATGCTAGAATCTTATATTTCTCATTCTAAACTCAATAATTCATCCTGTCTCTTTGGTGTCTCTCTTGCTTTAGACACCAAAATGCTGCAAATTTTAGAAAGATCGGGCCTACTCTGGCATGTGCCTAACAACCCTAAGTTGGAACATGTGAACTTTAACGAGCAAATTATAAATTAATCCCTCTAGTTTTGGAAAATAAACTGAATAGTCCTCTTTGTTTTAAAAATAATTAATTAATTTTTTAATTAATGTTGATCGTAGTTAATTTA